GAACATTTCCAGAGCCACTATATAGCTGTCTGTTGCTTAATTGTCCGTCACCATTCACTGCTGCATCTGGCAAAGCTGCAGGGCTTTGTCCACCTCGCAATCCTGATCCAATGGTTACAAGATCTCTCCTCAATATCTGTTGCGTAGTGATTGACATTCATGGCTATTTGGACCACCTGGCATTAGGAAGGGCAATAACAAAGACAGCCCCCTTGACCCTGCAAAGTCCTCCTTCCTATCATCCGAGGGCTAGTGCCAAAATTGGAAGTTTTCTCTGACTAGTAAGGTCTCAGCCTGACATAGTCATACTCCAGGAATCACAGCTTACAATGTTCCAGACACCACCATCCCTAGGTATACCCTGTCCCACCAGCAGGATAGACCCTGCAGCACAATGGGGAAGGAGTTGCTCTAGAAGTCCTTAATGGCACCAGATCAAACATGTGCAAGAAAACATCTGATTACCACATAGCAACACCACCCCTCAGGAAAAAAAACCCTCCGCTGATGAATCAGTATTTCTCCATGTGAGCAGCATATGGAGGATATTCATGTCCACCACCAAGAGTAGCTTGGAAGCAACATTACCTATTTTTCTGGTTGAATCCTTAAATAGCTGATAGACCAGATCTGTGATAGCTGGTCAGAGAATCAAGAGAGCAAACATTCTTGACCTCATAGTCAGAATGGTGAGTATGGAGATGGAGCTGTCCATGCATACATCAGTATGAGTGATCATTGTACGGTCTTTATGGAGACACAGTCCTGCCTTCACATGGAGAATATATTGGAATGTGTTGTGTGGCAGTATCACCTTGCTAAATGAGACTTTGAACAGATTGAGCACCTCAGACTCCAACGCAATCTACAATCTCATAAGCAGATATATCTCTCACTTTACCATTATGATCAGGTCAGGGGATCAACCCTAGTTCAATGAAGAATGTAGGATGGCATGGCAGGAGTACCAGTAGGCATACTTAAAAGTGAGGTGTCAACCTGGTGAAGATATAAAACAGGATGACTTGTCAGTAAACAGCATAAGCAGCAAAAGACAACCAACTAAGTGATCCCACTACCAACAGCTCAGAGCTAAGCTCTGAAGATCTGCAATACCCAGTCATGAATGGTGAGAACAGTTTTTTTTAAAAAGAAACTTAGGGGATGAGGAAGCTGCACAAATATTTCTATCCTCTACGATGCGAGAGCCCAGCATCTGCCAGGAGATAAGGTCAGAAGTGTCAAGTGGATGATCCATCTTGGCCTCCTTCAGAGGCCTCCGCATCACAGCTCCCAATCCATAAATTCCCGCTCCATGGGCTATCAAGAAATGGTTGGAGGCACTGGATACTGCAAAGAATGGCCTCCTGACAACAATCTGACATTCGTACTAAAGACCTGCTCTAGAACTTACCAAAGCCCTAGCCAAGCTGTTCCAGCGCTGCTATAACACTGGCATCTATCAGACGATGATAAAAGATTGTCCTGATTTTGCGTACAATCTGGCTAACTATAGCTTCTTCAGTCGACTCTCAATCATCAGTAAAGTGATGGAAGGTTTAATTATCGAGCAGCACTTAGCAATAACTTGCTCCCTTGATGCCCAGTTCAGGTTCTGCCAGGGCCACACAGCTTCTGACCTCCTTATAGTTTTAGTTCTTGAATTCAACTCTGTCCATACTTGAGACGAGACGAGACGAGACCGACTGCCCTTGATGGCAAATCCACATTTGACAGAGTATGGCATCGAGGAGCCCGAACAAAATCGGGGATCAGGGGCAACCTCTGCTGGCTTGAATCATACCTGATGCACAACAAGGTGGTTGTGGCTGTTGTCCATGTTTAAAAGCAGCACGACCTGGACACAACCTGGCTGGGCCTGAAAAATGGCAAGCACCATCGCCGGCCACCCGTGTGGTGTGAATGATCATCTCCAATAAGAGAGGATATAACCTTTTTTGTCCCTTTTTTATATTCAATTGCATTTCCATCACTGAATCTTCCCAATATTACTTCCAGGGGTTACCATTGACCAGAAACTCAACAGAGCTAGCCATATAAATACATTGGCTACAAGTGCACGTTAGAATTCTGCAGTGAGGTAACTTACCACTGTATGCTTTCAATGGAGCTGACACCCAAAGCCAATCCATCACCAACAAGGCCCAAGTCAGGTATGTGATAGAATGCTGCCCACTTGCCTGGATGAATGCAGCTCCAACAACATCGAAGCTTGACACCATCCAAGACAAAGAAACCTGCTTAATTGGCACCATATTCACAAACATCTACTCCCTCTACCACACTGACTTTCAGAAGCAGTGTGTACCACCTACAAGATGCACTGCAGAAATCCACCAAGGCTCCTTGCACAGCACCTTCCAAAGCACTTTCCAAATGCACAGTCATGATAGTTACCATTTGAAAGGCCATGGTAGCAGATACATTAAATCACCACTACCTGCAAGTACCCCTCCAGATTAATCACTGTGTTTTGACTTGGAAATATATCCCCATTCTCCATGTCTTTGCGTCAAAATCCTGGAACTTCTTCCTTTTGTGGCATAATTAGACTGCAGTGGTTCAAGAAGTCAGCTTACCATCACCTTTCCAAGGGGAGTTAGGGGATGGGCAATAAATACTGGCCCAGTCAGCCATGCCCAGATCGCAGAATAATTTTTTTTTTTTTTTTTTTTTTTAAAGAAAAAAATTCTATCAGTGTTCTAACATCAGCTCCATTGAAAGCATACAGTCCGGCTGCAAAACAGCCTGGTATGGCAACTGCACTACTCAGGACCATAAGAAACAACAGAAGGTTGTGTGCACAGCACAAACCATCACAGAAGCCAATCTTCCACCCGTGGACTCTATTTACACAGCTTGCTGCTGTGGAAAGGGGGAGGTGATGGCCTAATGGTATTATCACTAGACTGTTAATCCAGAGACCCAGATAACATTCTGGGGATCCAGGTTCAATCCCCACCATGGCAGATGGTGGAATTTGAATTCCATAAATATCTGGAATTAAGAATCTAATGATGACCGTGAATCCATTGTTGATTGTCGGAAAAACGCATCTGGTTCACTAATGTCCTTTAGGGAAGAAAACTGCCATCCTTACCTGGTCTGGTCTACATGCGACTCCAGACCCACAGCAATATGGTTGACTCTAAACTGCCCTCTGGGCAATTAAGGATGGGCAATAAATGCTGCCTAGCCAGCAGTATGTCACATCCCATGAATGAATTTTTTAAAAAAAAGGTCGCCAACATCATCAAAGACCCATCGCACCTTGGTATTGACCTCCTACAACCTCTTCTGTCAGGCAGAAGATTCAGAAGCCTGAACACATACAAGCAGGTTCAGGAACTGCTGCTTTCTGGCTGTTATCAGACTGTTGAATGGACTCTAGCCTCAAATAATGTACCTGTATGCCTCTAAGTCTTTTTGATCCGTACATCCTTTGCTTGCTGTGATCTGTCTGTGCTGCTCATGAACAAAGCTTTTCACTGTATTTCGGTACACGTGACAATAAATAAATCAATCAATCAATGAAAAATTCTGTTATGCCTGCTTCTGCCTTAGTGCTCTTCTGGAGTTATCACTGAACCAAGAATTGGACAGCTTGCTCGATAGTAATTGTTGAAAGTCAAAGCATGAAAGGAGGACATTTGGTGCCTCATTCCCGAGTCACCGCTTTGAAAGATCAAGTCAATTTTAGTGATAAAAGTGTGAGGATATTCTGGACCATGAGGTTACATTGTGATGCTGCACGATTCTGCTGCTGAGGAGCCGCAGTGCCTTATGGATGCCTAGTTCTGAGCTTTTGAGTTTTGATATTAACATAATAATGCCATGCAAAATTGCTTGGGACTATTAATATACGTGCAGTAGTCATTTCTACCACCAAGTTGTCATGGACAGATAATTCTGAAATGAGTAGATTTGTGAAGATGAGGTCAAGTAGAATCGTTTCTCTCTCTAGGTGCCAAAAGCTGTCTGATGGTAATTGTCCTTCTGAAGTTGAGTGGTAATGCTATCAAATTAGCCTTGGTGACGAATCTTTGAAATCTCATCTGGACAATATTGTGTGCAAATTATTCCATATTATTTAGGCACAGAAGCAGGGTATATGTTCTGATAGGATTAGACACGAAAGCTGGAATCCATCTATCAATATGTCCCTCCATTTTTTTTTTCTCCTTTGGGGGAACTTCCCTTTAATTCATGTATGCTGGTTACCTTAAATGGTCCCATTATAAGGAGTCCAACGTTTATATCTCATTTCAGATAAACAGATATTTCTTGAAATCCCTTTTGGATTTAATAGTGACTCTTGTTTATGGCCCCCTAAATCTTAAACTCCTGTGCAAGTAAAAGTACCTACATATCCACCCTATCAAACCCTTAAATAGGATTAAAGATCGTGATCAGGTTTTTTTTTAACCCAACCTGTTCAATCTTTCCTGATAACGATAGCTTGCTATCATGATGGTAAATCTTATTTTGCACGTTTTTATCATTTTTACATTATGGAGGCCAAGAACTGTTAATGATACTCCACTGTAGATTAAGTCAGTGCTTCTATGCAAGTTTAACGTTGCTTCTTAGTTTTTTTTTGGCATGAAATTAACATAAAATCATGCCCTTAAGAACCACTATCAAGCTGCTGCTTGACCAATCTGTTGGGTGGCTCTCCCAAGTTTATTTTATTAAATAAAGATTTAAATGGTACAATTTTTGTTGCCTTTTTAACACCAGTAATGATGATTCGAGTGACTGAGTAGTCTATTTTTATAGGATTAGAGTACATCAGCTGTTACTCCATTTTTAAATAAAGCTTCTGAGTTTATCAAAATGTAGGGGCCTGTTCCTGTGCTGTACTTTTTTTTGTATTAGATGACTGTAAATTGACATTTATGCTAGATTTTAGCTAAGAACCTCTACTTTTAAGATTATCTGCAAGGGAGATGATGTCATGTTGTCTTACTTTATTTCAGGTTAACGTGATAGCAATGTCTATCTGCACCAGGGAGGCCTACCAGTCGATGAAAATGCGAAATGTTGATGATGGACACATTATTAACATCAATAGGTAAGGGAATTGAATTGAAATGAAAGCAAAATGTGCCAGAAGTATTCAGGTCTTGCAGCAGTGGAAGGAGAGAAACTGGATTAACTTTTGAGTCGCTTCTTCAAAGAAAAAATTCTCCTGAAGAGTCATCAGAGAATTGAATTGTTGCTTTGCATGGGATGGAAACCTTCCTCGGTTTCGTTTTGGTTCATTTGGTTGATTTGAACAGTTTCAGTGATAAGCTGCTTAAGGACCAAATTTTCAATATTAAAGCAACAAAATTCTAAAATTTAAGGATATGTGGGTTTTTTTTAAAAAGAAATGTCATTGAATAGGATAGCAGATGGAACAGACTAGGCAAAATATTGGTCCATATGATCCTTGACTGATTGCTGGAAAGGGTACCACGTTCAGCACTTCAATTTTTTTTTTTATTGTGATCTGATAAAGATTTCACAAATGTCCTTTTCAAGTTTACTCACCTAGAGGTGGTGTAATAATGTCACAGATTTAGCAAACCAGAGTTCCAGGTTGATGTTTTAGGGATGCAAGTTCGAATTCCACTATGACAGTTGGTAAAATTTGAGTTCAATAAAATAGAATTAAAAATGGTTATAATGGTGCCTGTGTGTAGCTGTTGTCTGTTGTTATTAAATAAAACTCAATTGATTCACTAACTGCCTTTTAGGGTGGGAAATTTTGCCATCCTTGTGTTATCTGGCCTATATAATATTTTTGACTGTCTTATCTATCCTCTGGAATAGTCGAGCAATCTATTTCCTCAGTTGTATTAAAACTTCAAGCATGTTTTGTTTTTAAAATGGTGCAGAAGCAACACGAGAACCAGGGAGGCTTGAAGTAGCGCAAGGGAGCGCAAATTTTTAGATTTGGGAAACATAAAAAAAAAACTAGAAGTGTAGATTCACTAGACCAGGGTCTGAAAAACTGCCTGAAGTGGGAGTTTTGGAAAAATTGAAAAGTGACATCACAGGGTAAACAAACTCATTAAGTGGGTATGGGAGCCTGGATGGCTGAAGTTACAATCTATGTAAGCAAGACCAGATCTGTATTTCTGCTGTCCAGTCTTTAAAATAAAAATGGGTGTTTAATTTAGGTTAGGTTGTGTTTAAAACTTAAGGAGTAGGTAAGATCTCTGGTGTATATTCTTCAGTCTTTAAACTAGTGGAAATAAACGGAAAGAGAGTAACTTGTAGGTTACTTGGGCAGCAAGGCAGCTTGACGCGGTGGGATGTTACTCCTGTGAGATGTGGGAAGTCAGGAATACTTTCAATATGCAGGGTGACCAAGTGTGCAGAAAGTTTGTTCTGAAGCAGTTTTTGCAAACTTGTGCTTTGGATCTGGAGCAGCAGCTGGATTCACTATGGAGTATCTGGACAGCATGTACGGTGAGGTTGGTGCACTGTTGGCAAAGAGTACACAGGCAGAAAGACTGCTAGAGTAATAAAATACCTGGCAGGTGGTGCAGTAATCCCCTAGAGCCATCACTGTTTAACAGATTTTTAATTTTAGGTATTGCTGGGGGAGATGGAATGCAGTGAGAGCCAAGTCTGTGGCACAGACAGTAGCTACGTTGCTCAAGAGGAGAGGAAGAAAGAGTTCGAGAGCAATAGTGTTATGGAATTCTACCATCAGGAGAACACACCATTTCTGCAACTGCAGCAATAATATCAGTCTGGCATGTTCTCTCCCTGGTGGCAGCATCAAGGATATCACTGGGAGAATAGCCAGAGGTCATGGTCCATATCGGTACTGATTGATGTTGGTAAAAAGAAGGAGGCAAGCAGAATATAGTCTGGAAATAAATCAAAAAGCAGGATCTCAACTATAGTAATTTCAGGATTGCAGATCAGGAATTGAAGAATAGACAGAATGAATGTGTGGCTGGAGGGATGAGTTTGGGTTCTTGTGGCATTGAGAACGGTTGTGGGGAAGAGGAGATCTGTTCAAGCTGGAAAGTTGTACCCCAGCAAAACTGGGTTGTTTGCTAGTGCTGTGGGTGTTTAAACTAGAGAGCCAGTGAATGTGAACCTGAACAGGGAGACAAGTGAGGGAAACGGTTGGAAATGAAAGGTAGAAAAGTAAAAAGCGAAAATGGAAGGCAGAGGAAACCAGTGCCAGCAGCAATTAGGGCTGGCATACAAAAAAGTGTAAAAATGTCAAAAAGACAAATCTAAGGGAACAATAGGGTGGCGCAGTGGTTCATTGGTTAGCAGTGCTGCTTTGCAGTACAAAGGACCCAAGTTCGATTCGACCCTCCAGCGACCGTCTGTGTGGAGTTTGCACATTCTCCCATGTCTGCATGTGTTTCCTCCAGGTATTCCAGTTTCCTCCCACAGTCCAAAGATGTGCCGGTTAAGTGGATCATAGTCATGCTGAATTGCCCATTGTGGCCAGGAATGTATATAACATAGGGTGGATTAGCCTTGAGAAATGCAAGGTTACAGGGATAGGGTAGGGGGTTGGGGTCTGGGTGGGATACTCTTTGGAGGGTTGGTGTGACCTTGATTGGCTGAATGGCCTGCTACCACACTGCGGGGATTCTGCAATATATCTGAATGCATGGAGTATTCACAATAAGATAGACAAATTTAAGAGTTGTTAATTGTAAACTGGTACAGTACAATTGCGATGATGTAGATGTGGCTGTGGAGTAACTGAGGCTGGGAACTGAACTAGGTATTTAATTTTTAGGAAGGACAGCCAAACTGGAAAAGGTGGTGGAATAGCTTTGTTAGTGAAATATGAAATCCATGCAATAGCCAGAAACGATACTGGCGCAGGAAGTCTAAATGTGGAATCTGTGCGGAACCAAGGAACAAGGATTGGAAAATTTTAATGGGAGTTGTCTGGAGTCCTTACAGCAAAGGTGGTGAAGTAGTCATGTAACAAGGATGCTGCAGTAGTCATGGGTGACTTTTAATCTACAACATTAGCAATATTACTGTAATGGATGAATCTTTGGAATGTAAGCAAGATGGCATTGCAGACCAGTACAATGAGGAGCCAAGAAACCAATCAAGCACAGTGTTTGGGATAGAAGAATTGAAGGAAATTAGTTTTGAGTTTTAAAACTATGCTGGAGAAATTAATGGACTGAAAGGTAATAAATTACCAGGGTCTGATAATCTACAGCTCGGGCTACTAAAGGAGGTGTGCGTGGCAATAATGGCTGTTAGTTTTCATGTTTCAAAATTCTGTAGCAGTCCTGGCAGCTTGGAGGGTAGGAAATGTAACCCTACCATTTAAAGGAGGAGGGAGGTAGAAAAGTGGGAATTACAGACCAATCAGTCTAACATCAGTAGTAGAAAAATAGGAGTCTATTGTGAAGCTTGTGATAATGGGATTTAGAAAATATCAGTGACATTATACAAAGTCAACATGGATTCATGAAATGGAAATTGTATTCGAGAAACCTACTAAAGGTTTTTGAGAATGTAAACCGTAGAATAGATGAGAGAGAACTAGTCGATGTGATATATTTGGATTTTCAGAGCACCTTTGATAAGGTTCTACAATAGGGAATTATATGCAAAATCAAAGGTCATGTGATTGATAGTAACATACTGACATGGATTGAGAATTGTTTAGCAGACAGCAAATGGTGGGAATAAATGGGTCATTTTCAGAGAGGAAGAAAAGCGAGGTATTGTAGAGGTCAATGCTTGTGGGCCCCACCTATTAATATGATCACGATTTGGATAACAATCAACTGTAACACTTTCACGTTTGTTGGCGATGGAAAGCTAGGTGTGAGAGAGTTGTAAGGATGTAAAGAAGCTTCAGGGCAAATTAAACATTGAGGAAATGAGCAAATACATGGCAGGTGCAGTAAAATGTGGATAAATAAAAAGTTGTTACCCTACCGTTCTGTTTTTCACACTGAAGTATTATTTAAAAATGGAGATACATTACGCAATCTAAGTGTACAGTGGGACCTGGATGTCTTTTCGCGTCATTGAAAGCAAGCATGTAGGTGCAGCCAGCGGGTAAGAGGGCAAATGGTTTGTTGGCCTTTTTTGAAAGACAGTTTATGTACAGGAGCAAGGAAGTAATACTGCAAATGTGCAAGGCCATGCCTGCAGTTTTGGTCTCCTGATGTAAGAAAAGATGTACCACAGAGGAAGCGCGGCAAAGGTTCACCAGACTGGTGGGATTCTGGGATGGCAGATTTGTCCTGTGAAGAGAGATTCAGCCAACTAGTCTATATCTACTGGAGTTTAGAAGAATGAGAGGGATATCCTTGAAATATATTAAAATTCTGTTAGAGTGGGCAGACTGGATGCAGGGATGGTGTTTTCTCTGGCTAGGGGTGCAGAACCAGAGATGTGGTCTCTGAATAAGTGGAAGACTGTTTTGGATTGAGATGAGGTGAACTTTCTTCACTCTGTAATGAGCCTGTAGAATTCTCCTCCACAGAAGGCTGTCAAGACAAGGTTATTAAATATATTCAGGAAGAAAATACATTTGTAGAAGGTAAACGTGTTGTGGGCTATTGGAGAGCATGTGAGTATGGTGTTAAGATGGAGTATCAGCCATGATTATATTGAGTAGCCTATCCCTGCTAATTTTCTGTTTTTAAAGCATGGTGCTGTCGAACATTGTCATATTTAGCATGTATGTTTTCTTTCAAGTTTTCTTTTAAAATGTGTATGCAGTATGAATCAACAAAGTTGTCCTGCCACACTCTGGCCTGGATGCTTTTTACTTAATTGGCGATGTTTTTGTTGTTGAGTGGCTTATGTATAAGTTAAAAAGAAACAAGATTACAAAGTGCTGCATATTTATAATAGTGTGAACTCTGTGAGCCTCGACATTGCACTGAGGATAATTTTAATTTGTGAATTGTATTTAATCACCTTAAACAACTCTGATTTAAATGTTGCTCTGTTATATAATCGTTTTGAATCAGTTATTTCTCTCTCTTCTGGCACTAACTTAACTTTCCAGGAGTTTTGAAGTGATGTAACTCATGACATCTTTAAAATGACTGGGTTAAATGT